AGACCTAGTGAGAAAGGAGCTTCTAGATAACTTCTCATAGCTTCATTCTGATATATATCAGTCAGACTAGAAACAGTCTGTCCTCTTTTCCTCCCTGTGTGTGTATAAGGGAGAGAGGTCTTTTATTGTTACTCAGGTATAATCAGTTCAAATTTCACAAGGTCATAACTTGAATAGCTATTGAAGTATAAATGCAAACCTTTTCCCTGAGTTGCTATTTAGGGAAGAAGCAGGAACTGAAGAACAGAATTACAGCAGATACTTGATAGTCTCTTTACCCAAGACCACTGATGTGGAAGATGTGACTGTTCTGGAAACAGCTGAGCTCCCCAAAATAAGACCAAAGGTGTCTGGGATGAGAGGTACAATGTCACCTAGTCCTTGGCTATGAGAATAATGCCGTAGGTCTTCTGTCAGTTAATGCTGACCAGGGGGTATTTTACCACACAGGTAGGGCAAGAGCTGGTCCATCATATAGGGAAATACAGATCTCCTGAGGATGTCACCAAGGCTTATAGAAGGGACCTTAAACAAGTATTGTTATGAGGTTGGGAGACCAGAATTAATATTTATTTTTAAAGTATATGTTGTTAGGTGCTGTTGAGTGTGATTCATATCAACAGCCAACATAAACTCTGCCCTATCCTATGTCAGTCTCATCATTTCTGGCACACTAGACCCCTTGTTGAAGTCAGTGTCAGTCCATCTCATTTGAGGTCTTCTCCATCGCTAACCTTCCAGGCTTTTTAAGCTTGATGTCTCTTTCCAAGGATAAGCCTCACCCAGCTACATGTCTGAAGTAAGAAAAACAAAAACTTCACCATCGTTGCCTCCAAGAAACACTGTAGCTGCACTTTCATAGTCTTTGCTAAATTAAATACCTCAGATGTTGATTTATTTGGAGTTGAAAATTTCTGTGCTTATTGGTCCTTATAGCTAGACAAGTGAATGACACCATGATAACGGAAGAAATGATTGAAGCCGATGTTCATGGAAGGCAGTAGTTAAGAAGTAAAAAAACTGGGCAGATCTGCTTCAAAAAGGTTAAAAAGCAAAGATGTCATTTTGAGGACTTAAGTGTACCTGATTCAAGCCATATGATTTTCAGTTGTCTTCGAGGCACAGAAATGCTGAACAGTGCAGTATGAAGAGAAAAGAATTGGCACGTTTGAGTTGTGGTGCTGCTGGAGAATATGGGAATATATGATGAACTTTTAGAAAAGCAAACAAATCTGTTTGGGGAATATGCAGCCAAGAATGCTCTTTAGAAGAGAGGATAGTGAGACTTTGTTTCACTTAACATTAGACATATTATCAGGAAGGACTGGTTCCTGGAGAAGGACATGATACCTGAAAAAATGAGTGTATCAGCAAAGAAGGGAAGGTCCTCCACATGGTGGATTGACACACTGGACTCAGTACTCAATGATAGTACCAGTTGTGGGGACAGTGCAGCACAAGGTGACCTTTCATTGTGTTTTGTATAAGGTTGCTGTGAGCTGGGACTTACTCAAAGGCTGACACCTAATAGCAACCACTGAGCTTTTATTTAGGTATTTCTAAATAGAATGCCAATGTTTTGCATTTTTTTGCATGACTATAAAGAGAAATTTGTGCTCCTCCAAATCCTGTTATGGAAGCATCTCTTATGGCTGTTTATGGAATTCATTGTTCATCCTTTAGGTGAAACTTTAAGTTGTTCTACCAAGGTTAGTCCAAGTGGCGGTTTTAAAGAATTATGCTCTCATTTATGCCCTATTTGTGTGTGAACACTTTTTTTGTTAGATTGATTAACTGTAACAATTTCCGTTCATAGCTTTCTCCAAAGTCAAAGATTGTATCTTCCTATTATCACTTATGTTTTCTTGTTGGCTGTGGTTTTTCTGATTGTTGTTGCCTCAGATGTTCCTTGGTCTAAGAGGTTAGGCGGGTGGAGTGGAGGATGGAGGGCCTTTTCTGGGAATTGGCAGATTTGGATGTTGTTCCTGCTGTTAATTAGATATGTGATCCAGGTGCAAATCAGTCTCCCATGGCGTCTTCACCAGTAAACCAGAAGCCTTGGGAAAGTAGATGAGCTAACCTGGACCAACTGATAAAAAAGTCACCTGCGTACATATGCCGTGTGATCCTGTAAAGGTAGCACATGGAAGTCCTTTTTCTTTCTTTCAGGGTTTATTATTTTATTAATCTTAATGAAAGTTTACAGACTTAGGGTTTCCATTTTTCTCTCTGTCCACTCCCTCCCTCCTCAATTCATTCTTCTCTTTGAAAAGTAAAAGAAAATTTCTTTCACTGTTATACAATCCCTCCCCCCAAGTACACTCCACTGTGCAGCCTTCATTCTGGACTCCTGTCATGACAATAATACTCAATCATATATCCCTTTTAAACAGTTCTCTCCCTCATCCGTTTCAATGAAGTACATTATTTATCCCCTCTTTCTCAGCCTTTCCTCAACCCTGATGTCAGTCCCATTTTATAACAGTGGCCCTAAGCAATATTGTCGTTTTATGACTGAGATATTTCACTCAGCATAATGTCCTCCAGGGTCACCCATTTTGTATATTTCGTGAGTTCCTTGTTTTTCAAGGGAGTCTGTCTTTTTCTTGGTGATTCTTTATACAATACCACTGCTGTACCTGAGAGTCATAGGAGGACATGGCATTTTACAGCGATCTTTATTATATGCCACCAAGTCAACTATGACTCGTAGCAACCCTGTGAACCACATATCTGAACTTTATACTATCTTGTGCCATCCTCATCATCTCTGATGTGCTTGAGCCCATTCTTCTAGTCACTGTGTCCATCCATCCATCTTGTTGAGGGTCTTGTCTGTCTTTGGCTCTCCACCTTTCTCAGCATGATGTCCTTTTCCAAGAACTGGCACCTCTTGACAACATGCCCAAAGTATATTTCACCGTCTTTGCCTCTCCATGACAAATTTGTTCTTTTGGCAGTCATGTGATACTCAGTACTCTTGTCCAATACCACAACCCAAAAAGACATTGATTCTTCTTCTGTCACCTTACTCATTGTCTAGCTTTCATATGGAAAAGGAAGCAATTGGGAAAACTGTGATTTGGATCAGGGGCACTTTAGGTTTGAAAGTGACATCATAACATATGGTGGTGGTTGTGTGCTATCTGATCAGAACCGAGCCATAGCTGAGCCTCTAGCAGGTTTTCAGAGGCAGCAAATTGCCTGGAAGATTCTCCATCTTTCTCTAGCAGAGCAGCTGGTGGATTTCAACCCTTTGGAATTGCAGTGCAGGTTTTTTTCCACTAGGTCACCAGAACTCTCTATCGTGTGGAGGCCTTTTTTTAAAAATATTTTTTTATTGGGAAAAACATATTGGGGGTACAAGGAGGTGAGGGTTGGGGGCAGAAGGGTGAGGATGGGCCAGGATGCAGTTGCAGAGCTGCACAGTTTGGTCTGTGGGGGGAGCAGGTGAAGGAAATGATGAGGGTCCAGTGGGGACCAGATGCTACAGAGGAATGACAAGCATTTTCCAATAGTAATTAAACCAACTGTCTTATTGATTTGGGAATTGGATGCCGACTCTCTGGCTTCTTCATGCTGAACAGGGGCGTAGATATAAAGGGGGGAAGGGAGGAGGCTTTATCACCTTACTGGTGGTCTTGGGTTACAGCTGCTTGCCTTCTTGCTCTGTTAGAAGATAATTTCCTGTCATTTGCTCCCCTCTGGGCTGCAAAGTGTTTTCCCAGGTGGGTCCAGTGGGGATGGCTGGTTGAACCCAGAGGCTCCGTCGTGTGGAGGCCTTTTAAACATTTAAGCAAGCACAAACAATTGATTACATGTGAGTCAGAACTGACTTACAGCTGACCTTCCAGTGTTTTCTGAGACTGTAAATCGCATCAAAGTACAGGATGCATCTTTCTCTTGAACCACTGGTGAATTTGAACCATATTTGACAACTAGTAGGGATTATGCTAAGTTTATTGGCTTTCTCCCACCTAGGTGTTTCTCCTTCTGCCTTCTCCTTTGTCCCTCTATTATTTGCTCTTGCCTCTTCAAATGCAAATTTATTTCTACCTTCTCCTCTCCCTGCTAACACAAGTGCTATTATCAATACAACCCACTACTGTTAAGTGCAGATTTGTTTTAGCTTTGGGCTGTCATTCCATCTCATCTGACTTAGAGGGGAGGAAAGTTTAAAGAAACTAACTTTATGTACAAATAATGGCCCCTTTGTCTACTTTTGCTGAAGAGATGGTTTCATGTTTCATCTCAGACCTAAGACACTGTATTGTTTTCCAAACTAAGTACTGCTTAAAAACACATCTTATTAAAAGCACCCAATAATGCTATGGACTTACTCGACTTGCTTATCCACCCTACTCGCCCCAGTCATAACTATATATAGTAAAACCCCAGCAGAATGGGGGCTGTTTAATTGGGGCCCTTGACATCAGGGTTCACATGTGTTCCCACTGTATTTATTTTGCAAATGCTTATAAGGTGTGCTTCATTCCAGTAAGTTTCCAAAATGTTTTCTTTGTGGTGATACAATTAATATCACTTGTAAAACCTTCCTTTAACCGTATAACTTCCTTCCTAGCCATTATCCTTTACATTCCATGGTTTAATGTTTTCTCTGACGAGCTGAGGTTGGGAGACCAGCAAGACTATGTCAGACATCTTACAGTAATATGTCCAGGGTTTGCCTCATAACCTTAATTAGATGTGGAATGTTGAGAATGCACTCTGTATGTGTGTGTGTTAACTTTCCTAACAAGGCAGTGGACTCTGATCACCTCATTAAACATTATAAAACATTTCTTGTGTTTTAGCATTCTGTTTCTCTTTTTAGTTTAGTCAGAAAATGAATGTAAAACTTACATATTCTCCTAGGTGGTCAGATTTTTTTTTTCTTTTTAAAAACATATTACATCTATGTCAGTGTTTTAAGTTGCATTCTACCTTTCAATCCTTATCCCCTCCACCCCTTTTTTTCTCTTTAGAAACAAGTGTGGAAAATGTTAAAGGCTGTTCTGAAGAAGAGCCGAGAGGGAGGAAAAGGAAGCAAGAAGGAATCAGGTATGTCTGCAAGAATCCGTTGAGCCAGTGTTGGGGATGCTGGGTAGCTTCCAGTGCTTTGATAGGAGTCACAAAGGGTGATCCAGGTCAGAGCAAGCGGCAAGCAGCATGCAGACCAGGAGAGACTGGAAGGATGCTTACATAGACGGATGCACACACCTATTTTCTTTTCCACCCCTTTTTGTGAAAATATAGATAACACGCATTTGCAGAGTCAACATTGTCACATTTATAATTTAGTATTATCAATCACATGTATGTATATTTGAAACTAAGGCCTATTTATATACTTCTGAGGTTTCACATGAGAAAGCAACTTTGATAATTAAGTTTGGGGTCTGAACTAAATCCTTCCCCAGGGGACTTTTAAGGTTTGTACTTTTAACAAGTCATTCAGATCTGGAGCCAGTCAAAATTACAGACATTGAGGAATAGCAGATGTGTCCAGGAATTTGGCTTTTAGAAAGCTCTTCCCCTGTTCCCACATGTAATTGCATTTTATATGTTTGGCCAACTGCTGGCTGAGTTGCCTTTAGCTTTCTGAGTATCAGATTTTACCCCTAACAGGTGTAACCCTATTTAATGCTGAACTGCGAGTTTTCATTAGGATGAGAGTTATTTAATTGGGCTAAGATTTCATTCCTGCTTGTGAACTTCTGCTCAGTTGTTAAGCTCTTAACTGCTAAGGGAAAGGTAGAGAGTTCAAACTCACCAGCCTCTCCATAAGGGGAAAGATGTAGCAGACTGCTTCTGTACATCTGTACAGCCTTCGGTGTCCTAGAAGGCTGTTCTAATCTGTGCTAAGATCACTGTTATTACTGTGTATCATTGAGTCAGAACTAACCCATAGCTGACCCTCCAGAGGATTTTCAGAGGAAGTAAATTGTCTGAGAGGAGACTACCCATCTTTCTCTCAAGAAGCAGCTGGTGTAAAAAAAGAAAAAAAGAAGCAGTTGGTAGATTCATATTTGCATTTGCTTCACAATTCCTTATGGCAAAGCCACCAGAACTCCCTGTAAAATCACCAGGAGTCGAAATAGAAGCTACACCACAGAGTTGGGTTGTCAGTTTGCAGAATTCTGGTGTGTGTGTGTGTGGTCATTGTGATGCAAACAGCATTGAATTCTGCACAGTAAAGTTATTGTAGTCATTGTTTAGGATCACTAGATATCTAGTGATTGCTAGTAACGCTTTAACTCTCATGCAAGAAACGGTATATTCTCTCTTTGCTGCCCGGTAAAAATCTCTTAGCATGAACTGATTTCCCTGAAATAGGATATTTCCTTCTTTATGTAAACACAATGCTAGTTCATAGTACGTGGGGAATGGCTGAATTCTCTGTGTTTCTGGGTTTTTGTAATGCCCTATATCAAGTACCATTTCTGTTTTAATTTTATATAGTTAACTCTTTTATTCTGTAGTTCTGTAGAATACATGTACTTTTTGGTTACATGAAACCTACAAAGAATTTCTATTTAATAAAAACTATCCCTGAAGCTAAATCTGCAAAAAATGGCAAACTCACTCAAACATGGAACTTTTATCCTAATGTTGCTGTGAATATCTCATTATAAGCTTTCCATTAATTGCCTGGGTAAGCAGATACAAAGAAAAGGAGAAGCTAGTTTTTAATGATAGACGCAAGAGACCAGGGTTAGCTCTTAGAGAAACAAGCCCTAGCTTTGAATAATTAGGATTGTTACTATGGAGAATTTTCTTTTCAGTTCACCTAATTTATTTACAAGGGGACATTCACCCTTTGCTGTGTCAAGGCCAAAATATCCTCATGAATTCTCTGAAAGCAGTTAAAAAAAAAATTTATCCCCTCTCATTTTTCTCCCTAATTTTGCTGCATCTGACATTCACTGTAGGAACTTTGTTTCACTAGAAGCTCCTGCAATTTCCAGCGTAAAGTTAGATGCATAGTTGCCTGTCAGGGCTGGGACTGTCAATTCCCCAGGGTCTTCGGATAGGGTCTCCAAACCAAAACGTCCTGCTGGTCTCAAGAGTCTTTCTCAGAAAACCCACTATCCTCTTGACCAGAGGCCGACTTCTGCATAACAATTATTAATGACGTTAGACACCATGCCTTTCAGGCTGGCCAGACAGTGAACATAGTTTGCCTTTGAAAGCTTCTCCAGTTTTCAAGTACATTATTTGAGGGATTTATTTCTGCCTTTGGTCTTTAAGAACTACTACTGCTTTGTCTGAATCATTTCTTCTTAATAATTCCCACATTATGGCATTTTATGAGTATAAACTAACTTGAAAAACAATAGGAACATTTCTCAAAAAACATCTGTAAGATATGTACCCTTTTTACTCTTAACTAGAACCTGATTGAATTCATTTGGGAACAAAGCAGATGGCATTTTAAATCTTGATGAAGTTATGTCACAAGATGATTTTGGGGGAAGTACTTGGGATTTAACCATTCATATGTTGAGCTCTGTGCCAACCCTTGTTATGTACGTCTAGTAAATCATAGCTAAGTTTCTCTTTGAATGGAAGCTAGTTAATTTAGTGGGACGGCTCTGAAGCTTGGGTAATAATACCTCCTGCAATATGGAAAAAATTTGTTTTCCTGTTTCCAATTAATATTAAGCTTTGTAACAAATACAAAGAAAACTTCATTTTTATGTCCTTGAACTGGCAATTATAGGAATTTAGTAAATATTTATTTTTAAAAAAAAATCCATTTTCCTGTCCTTTGTAAAATCACTGTGACAGATAATCTTTAACTTTTATGTTGAACCTATTTTGAGATTTTGGAAAATAAAATCAGCATTAAATTTAATATTCTTTAAAAAAAACCCCTGTTTTTAAGAGGCATTGTAAAGAATCTCTCAACCTCTATCCATAAACTACTACTCCTCTTATCTACTTTAAACTGCTGGCAGATTTTAACAGTTACTAAAATTAAAGTTATATGTATATAAGGATATTTAGAATATTCACAATAGGATATTAAATAACTGGAAGTCATTAAATGTATTCTAAAGAATTAGCAAAACTTTCTTTTTTAAAAAAAAAAGAATTTGCTTTCCCCCTGGGAAATGCTTAAGTTGACATTGAGTCAGTTTCAGCTCATAGTGATCCTGTGAACAACGGAACTATCTGGGCCTTCTTCATCTTTAGAATCTCTGCTTTGCTTAAGCACATTGTTGTGGTCACCATGTATATCCATTTCATTGAGGATCTTCCTTCTTCTTGCTAACCCTCAACTTTCCCCAGCATGATATTGGTTCCCAGGATCTAGCTCCTCATGAAAGGGAGCTCTGGTGGCTTAGTGGTAAGATGGTGTGCTGCCAAACAAAAGGTACACAGTTTGACTCCAACAGTTGCTCCATGGGAGAAAAAAGGGTAGTTTAGGGTTGGCTGTGAGTCTCATCTGATTTGAATGTTCTCAATAACAATAGCAGCTCCTTCTGATAACATGCTCCAAATATGTGAGACAAACTTGCACCATCCTTGCTTCTGAGGGTTGACTGCACATTTTTCCAAGGCAGAGTTGCTTGTTTTTTGGCGGTCCATGGAATTCAGTATTCTTGGCCAGCATCACAATTCAAATGCATCACTTCTCTTGATCTTCCTTATATTTGTCAAAGTTTCACATGCATATTAAAATCCTTATAACTGGGCAAAAAGGGTTGCATATATTTTAAGGTTTTTATTTTTCATTTTGAAGGCTATAGAAGCAAGTTGGAGAATGCAAAATTTTAAAACTTAATTAAATTTTTTTTGGGGGTAAAGTATCAGTGCAAATGAACTTTATATTTTTCTTAACCTTGACATAGGACTAAGAAAGCAAGAATCAATAGTAAAACCATAATGGGGGAGAGCCGGGAGAGGGCTTCTATTTTTTCCTTCCTGGCCTTGTGTTTAAACCTTGATCTAAAACAAACAGATGAGGTGCTATCTTTAAGCTCTCTGGAGATATTTTAACCTTCTAGCATATGTTTCTTTATTTTAAATGACCTTTGCTATCAGAAAACCTTCTGTTACTATTATGAAATTGTTATTTTAAAATTGAATAATACTGCATTTTTGCGTTGGGGGTATCTTGACATATCTGGAACTAAAAAGAGTTTAAAGTGAATACAGTAGTGACATGCAAAATGAACATAGCAAAAGAGGCCCACTCTATGATGTTGTTGTGTACCATGGAGTTGGGATCAACCCATAGCTGACCCTCCAGTAGTTTTCAGAGGTAGTAAATCACATGGGAGGAGGATGCTCATCTTTTTCCAGCAGGTCAGCTGGTGGATTTGACCCACATACCAATGAGCACAATGCCATACCACTAAGCCACCAGAGAGGGAGCTCTGGTGCCCTACCGGTAAGAAGCTGCACTGAAATTCCAAGGGCACGTGGTTCAAGTCCACCAGCTGCACCATGGGAGAAAAATGGGTGATCTCTTCCCATGTGATTTAGTACTTGTGAAAACTGCCAGAAGGTCAGCTGTGGGTCGGTTCTGACTTGAATGTCTGTATGCTAAGCAAATTATTCAAGAAGCTGGACTCTATGAAGAAGAATGTGACATCAGGATCAGAGGAAGATTCATCAATAACCTGCTTTCTGTAGATGACACAACTTTGCTTGATCAAAAGTGAGGAGGATTTGAGCACTGTAGAGTAAAGAATACCGCCTTCAATATGGATTGTATCTCAACATCAAGGAAACAAAAATTCTTGCCACTGGACCAGTAGGCAACATCATTACAAATGGAGTTAAGTGTGAAGTTGTCAATGATTTCATCTTGCTTGGATCCAAAATCAACACTTTTGCTATCAGCAGTCAGGAAATCAGGAGATGTCTTGTACTGTGGACTAACATGGGTCCGATTCAGGCTATATGGTCTTGTCAGTAACTTGCTATGCATCTGAGAGCTGCATAGTGAATAAGGACAACATAAAAAGTATTGATGCCTTTGAGCTGTGATATTTAGAGAAGAGTGCTGAACATTTCATGGGCTATCAAAAGAACAAATATGTCTTGGA